TAGTTGCTTACTTGTAACTTGGAAAACGTGTATTTCCGGTAGCTCGTATCTTGAAGCCCCACTGTATATCAATTGGCTTTTAAAGCCTTTCATGTTAAGGCCACACATGTAACTGCATTGGGAAAAAATGTTAAATTTGACCAGGCTTTTGTCCATGTGCAGGAAAAAACTGTTCATTTTTTGTGTGCATCCTTTTTTAGGTATTACCTCAGGAGCAATGTAATCTGGAGTGCCACAGAAGGTAGTAGTCGTAACTCCGTTGAGAATTCCCTCCTTACACATGCCAAAGTCTGCCAGCTTACAGTGACCCTCTGCGTCCAACAGGATGTTGTCCAACTTTAAGTCTCTGCGAAGTGACATGAACAACTACATCAAGTTGAACAACTACACCATTATACAGACATGGATGCTAAGAGAGGCTTTTGCAAGATTAACAGGATTAGTAGTAGGAGTATATATATATATACCATATTTTACAGACTATGGCTGGCTGAGTTTGCGACTTACAGTATACTCAGGTGTGACTTACATATTAAAATATATAATTTCACATTGTAATTTTCACACTGACAGCCACGAAAGTGCACTCTAGACTTGTGTACCAGTATCTGGTACTCCTGAACCACTGAAAGTTTATGTCATTCATTGGTGTGGAACCCCAGGGTTCACCTTCTGGGCAGGTTCGAATCCCGGTTAGGGCGGTTGGTACCTTCCAGTGGACTCACCACCCGCAGGAAGGTTTGGGGGGTTGGTACGGTGCAATGTGATTTGGGTGGCGACTGCTGCCCCCGCGACCCGGTAACGGATAAGCGGATGAAAATGGATGGATGGATGGATGGCATTGGGGTGGAACCCCAGGGTTCACCTCCTGGGCAGCATCGAATTCCGGTTAGGGCGGGTGACGCTTTCCAGTGCACTCACCACCCGCAGGAAGGTTCATGGGGGCCATCTACTGTGCAGTGTGGTTTGGGTGGTTTTCGTGGAGAGCGCTACCCCCGCCGCAGGAAGGTTCATGGGGGCCATCTACGGTGCAGTGTGGTTTGGGTGGTTATCGCTACCCCCGTGACCCACGATAAACAGGGGCAACAAAGATGGATGAATGGATGGTTATTTCCACACTGACAGCCGCTAGAGGGCTTGTGTACCAGTATCTGCTTCTTTGTTAGTCGCACTTTTTTACATCCTTTGACTGGTGCGAGAGAAATTTATAGTCTGTAAAATATGGTACTTATATTTAAGGTTTAGTTGTGTACGGTTGTGTCTTTCCAGCTGTTATATATCAAATTTACAGATGAAAACAGTTTTCATAGAAGTACCACTAAGGATTCTTGAGAGGGTAAAAAACAGTCACAAGGTTCAAGGTTTTTATCACTCCAAACAAGGGTTCAGGTTGAACTTATATCGCACATTTAGTTCCAGGAAAACAGTGAAAGGGCGAATCAGGTCAAGGTGAGAAAGAAGTGAGCGAAGGGAGGGAGAGAGAAGGAGAAAGATAATGGCAGCAGTGTTGATGGATGACAAGGGTTCCTTATGAATACAGCTGCTCTGGGTTTGATGGTTGATTGCCACAAAAATGTCAACATCTTCAAGATGATCCTTTTACATTTGCGTGCGTTTTGTGTGTGTGTGTGTGTGTGTCCCTTACGTGTTAAGTTCTTATGTAACAGTTCTGTTTTTAATTTCTAAAATAAAAGACGCAAATACCAATCTTGTGCAGTAGCTGATGTTATTTGTTTTGAGAACCAGTCTTTTCTGTCCCATCATGCCTTGCTATCACAAGCTTCTCACTGCACATAAAACGTGTTTTTCTTGGCAGACATGTGGTACTGCTCATGCAGCATGGTTAAAAAAAACACAATGGTAATGTTCAGACTTTTTTCTAAAAGCCAATCAGAGAATCACATAAGCCTCTTTTCCATTATAGTCAGTCTGTTCAAATACTGACCATTGGGCCACATGTGGCCCAGATACAACCTCATAGTGGCCCAGTCTGAAATAAAACCGTTTTGGCCCACAGATTTATAGCAGAACAATAATTTAAACAAGAAAGTTGACATTAAGTTAATGTGGTATATCATCACTTTAAGCACAGTATTGCTCAAGATCCACATCCACATTACCCTCTTTCCTTTTTATTAAGTTAATGTGGTATATCATCACTTTAAGCACAGTATTGTTCAAGATCCACATCCACATCATCTGTAAAAGATGAATAGGTATTTTTAGTGTTACCCTCTTTCCTTTTTATCGCCATTTTTTCCAGAATATAAGTCGCTCCGGAGTATAACTGGTACCAGCCAGAAAATGCAAAACGAAGAAGAAAAAACATATAAGTCGCTATGGAGTATAAGTATAAGTAATGTGAAAATAACACATATAAGTCGCTATGGAGTATAAGTAATGTGAAAATAATGAACATGTGCATTTTCGGTGGTACAAGAGTAGCAGATAGTGGTACAAAAGCCTAGAGTCCCCTCTAGTGGCTGTCAGTGTTAAAATAACATATTATATATTTTAAGATATAAGTTGCCCCTGAGTACAAGTCGCAAACCCAGCCAAAGGATGAAAAAATATGCGACTTAGTCCAGAAAATACGGTACTCAAACAGCCACCAACCCGCTCCATCATGTACTGTTACGCTTGTCCTCAATTAAAGTTACACAATGGTCATTTATTTATAGGTCACACTTCTTGATGATTCATAGATAAGTGACTTATTATTTTGATCGCTACATGCCTTCAAGATATGAACAGAGCTATACGAGTTGTTGTTCCATACTTTTTTGGCTGCTAATCCCTAATCTCTGCCCTGATCTGCAACTGTTCATGCATGTATGTTGGTTAACATCTGCTGCATGATGATGAGGCATAAGAGCAAGGCAAATGATAACACTCATGACTTTTACCACCCACCCAGAACCTTGATTCCACCCTTGAGATGCCTGTTTGCATATCTCACCTGCAGGCAACTCTCACACATTAAATCTGAATTCAACATCCGCAGTAAGGCAGAAGAATAACATAATGGTTTTCTGATTAAATTCAACTGGTAGCTGACATTAATCTTTGTATTACCATCTCTTTGCTGGACTTAATTTAATATTAAGTGGCTGCAGGTGCCCAAGGCTGCTGATGGATTGGTATTTATTTATGAGCAAGAGACTGTTGACGCTTTGTTGTTAAAAGTGCACACTTCTAAAAGAGTTTTGCATTTTAAATAACAACCTAAATAATCTGAAATAGGATTTGAATGTGAAAATACGCAAACAAAACATTCTTGTTGTGCCATGTTTTTGCATATAGTCGTAGGATCTCTTCAAAAATGAGTCATCGTAAACAGTTAAAAAATGACATCATTGAATTAAAAAGATTGCTCAATATTGTTCTATAAGACATTTCGGCGTGAATGGAATTACACAAGGACTGTTATTAATACAGCTACAGTAAGGAAATCACCTTCACGTAGATTAGGAATTACTGAAACAGAGAGCATATCCCCACACGAACATTCAAGTGTACACACACACACTGAGACACACCACATAATCAGGCCCAATTGAGAGCATTTCCTGCTTCTTGTTAATCATGAGTGATTTTTCCATGACGTCATCAGTGGTAACCTCTGTGCACTGTAACAGCTAACCCTTCCTCGCTCTCTTTTTTCCCCTAAACGCTGTTCTTCCATTCCTACTTTTACATTCTAAACACACATCTGTCCCTACATGTACACCCTGCCACTGGAGGATTAGTCTGTGTATCATTTGGGTAGTGGATGATATAACAGCTTGGGATGATTAAACAAACTTTCTGTGATGTTTAGGGAATTAAATAAACCCTCATTGCACGCTACTGTTTTTATGCTGTTAAAATGGATTTATCCTGAAACTACTGTAACAGAACTTATATGATTTTTTTTGTTTTATTAGATGGCGGACAAGGATATGCTTTCAAGGAAAAACGATCGTATTGGTATGCACATGTTTATAAGGTGGAGCTTTTGAACCACTGGCTCTCTACGCTATGGCCTCTCAAGTTTCAATGAATTAATCATTAAATATTATATTTGAAAGTTTTTTTCTGTATGACTTCGCAGAGCAAATATTCTTTCTTCCTGTGTGTTGTGTTACCGACAGGTAATTAAGGTATTTTAACTTCTAACTGAGAAAACAGCAGAAACATGTTTCTTTTATCAGGGAGTAGCAAACCAGTCTATGTACAGTACCAAATGTCCCCGAGTGAATGAAGGACAAAAAAGTTCCCAGCTGGCATTTACTGGACATCGGCTATCTGCTGTTAGCATTCGGCAGCTCCAACATCTAATGTCAGTGTTTACACCGGTGATGCCGCTGTTAGCGCTCCACAGTGCTAACAGCTAACGCAGTGACAAGAAGACACAGTGGGTAACTGTCCTCATGTCCGTCTTTAGGATAAATGAACGAGTTAGCAGCGCTGACCGGACATCAGAGAAAATACTGGGAGTGTTGCATCTTGGTGTTTACAGAAACATGGATGAACTCTTCTCTTTCTGCTGTATTGACTGAATTTCCAAAACAAACAGCTAATGCTACTTCTGGCTTAAATCAGTTCAAGCAAAACAGCTTGAAGGACCTTGTTTACTGGGTGCTAGAACGTTTGATTGGACAATGACCATTTGGGCGTGGGGTTTTTGTGAGCGTCACAGCAGTAAGCAACTGACTTTTACAAAATGAAAGCTGGTGAGCATGTTTACAAAATAAAATACATAATCATAATCATAATAATAATAAACTGTGTTACAGCTATAAAAGAGATGTCAACATTAATTAATTATTGAGTTACTGCACTAATAGCGCGTTGAAATGCCTAGCCCTAGTTGTAACACATTTGCCTTGCAGTCAATATCCTGGAAATTTTAAAGGTCAAAATAAAAGCAATCCCAACATTTAGTCCCTTCAAGCTATTATATCTATTAACATAAATGTGACCAAAAATGTTCAGTTATTTGGATGGAAAAATACAAAAACGAATTCTAATTTGTGACATGCAAAGATGTTGTTGATAACTAGTGTCTAAGATAAGGCAAGTGTGCAAGTTGCTGCACAATTGTTTGTTGTTTTCTCTACCAAAACCTTACCCTAAAAAGGTCAAATAAACAACCTTGATTGACTTCATTTGAGTCTTGAACCAATACATGAGAGGTGGCTGGTGATCTTACCACCAGCTGGGGTAAAGCAGATGAACCGATGTGCATTCACCTTTGTTTACTGTTGTATAACTTGTTATTGTTTCTTCGCATCAAATGATGCTCATTATGTTTAATAAACTCAGAAGGGAAATCAAAGAAAACGTGCTTGGCAATATTCTGGTCAGGGAAAACAAAATGAGCCTTCATTAAACCCCCAGGGAGTCACCGTACCAAGAAATAATGGGATTTACATTTGAACAGCTCTTGGGAGAAGGATCATGACCTCACGTTAATATTTGTTTTACGAAGAGGTTCAACTAATATCCTATTGTATATAATTATACATTTTAATACACATTACTCATTTAACAATTTGATTTAGGTAAGTTGCGGTTTGTACTGTGGACTCCTAATTTTGTTTGAGTCAAAGACGATGGAAACGAGACAGGAGGAAGTGAAAAGATAAAATATACCCATTACAGGAACAGGTGGAAAATCCACCCATGGAATTACTGTTACCAGGAAGGTAAAAGGTTTGTCATCTGGCTGAGAGAAACATCCTTTGTGTGGAGTTTAAACATAACTGATATGATACCATAATAAAAATACAAATAAAAATGATAATAACTTTATGATAACATAACAGTATATTATAATATACTGCAGACAAAATGTATCTGTAAGGGATTTATTTTATCTTTAAAAACAATCTCAGGAAATCTGTTGAATGCAGTGAAGGTTAGGTAAATAAAACTATTTTTTATAAAGCTGTTTCCAACTCAGAGTCCCAAAATAATTTTAGATTGTATAATAATATATAATATATATATACATAATATAATAGTAAAGGTACTTTAAATTATTCTAATTTATTTTATTCATGTATTTTACCTGATATCACAGATATAGTATCATTATCGTATTGTATGTAGAGGATTATTTTACACCACTGTATGCGTTAAATTGATTACTGAAACAGTGCAACACAGCTCAAGTGACACTTTGTTTACTCAAAAACAGTAGCCAATCTTTTGTTACTTGCTTTCAATTAAAATGCTAGAGTGTTAGAGTCAAAAGTCTGCTCCCTTTCTAAACAGGTAGCTGTGTTGACTTAAGGATGTTTACCTGTAAATAACCCCATGCTGGTGCAGAAACATCAGGGCAGATGTGACTTCTGCAGCATAAAATCTTGACCGAGCCTCATCGAACTTTCTTGACCTTTGAATCTGGAACATTAGATCACCTCCATTTACATACTCCATGACGAAAAATAACCGGTCCTATAAAGAAAACAAGAAAGCGAGAGAAGGAGAGAGAGAGAGAGAGAGATAATTATTGATAAATCCAGTTATCTTCTGATTGGCTATAAAAAAATGATGATGAAAAGAGGTTGGTCCTTTAGTAAGTCTCTTAATTTATATGATCTTGATTCTTAAATAAAAGTCATCCTTAAAGAAAACATTATTTTCCACAGTTAAAAATATCTTTCACTTTCACAGTTTACCAATGAAGGACTCTGCCTTACCGGGACATTCTTAATCAAATAAAAATATGTAAAACCTGAACAGTGAATGTTAGTAGATTAGATAAGTAGGTTAGTAGTAGCAGATAGGTAGATATTATAATTACTTTTGTCGTGTGTGGTGTTGTTAATTGCAATCTCAATTATTATTTATTACCATAATTTTACTATTATAAAGTATATATATATGTGTGTGTAAGCATATACAGTATATAAACATGCACTTAGAATGTAGCAATAGAAATATAATAGTATTGTGAATTGAGATTGTAGTTATTGCACTGATTATTGTTGGGTTATTGCACATACTCCCTTATCCACCAGTCGCTTGTTCAATGTAAATGTATTTGATCCATAAGTCTTATGTAATATAGTCCTTACTACATACTATGTAATTATATATACTGTCATCTATCTATCTAATCTATCTCTCTCTCTCTCTATCTATCTATCTATCTATCTA